GAGACCTCAAAGAAAACATCGGGGCGCCTTTCGACGTAAGTAAAAAAAAACATCTCCCTGACTTCCGACAGACGACCCGATGGCCGCAAGGAGAAACCAAGAAGAGGTGGCACCCAGACGACGGAGCCCAATCCTCATCCTTCTCCCCCCCTTCCGCCGACGGCGACATGCCTGACACTGGCGAGGACGGAACGAGTGGTGAGGCTAGGGATATTCCAGCAGGCAGCTTTGGGCAACCTCGAGCGGGAGCAGCTGAGGGGCTGGAGGCATGGCCGAGTGGCCCAGGCGGGCGCTCCAGGCACCCGAGAACCCGCGTTCCAGCAGCCTTTCCAGAATGGCGCCCGTGGGAGACTGCTAGACTCATGAGGTGGAGGAGGAGGAGGAGGAGGAGGAGGAGGAGGAGGAGGAGGAGGAGGAGGAGGAGGAGAAGAAGGACCAGGAGGCGGAAGAGGAAGAGGAGGAGGATGAGGAGGAGAAGGAGGAGGAGAAGGAGGAGGCCCCTCTTTCCTGGTATCGTGCCCATGGCTTGCCTCCGCCGCGTGGCCCGCCACTGCTGCTGTGAGGTGCCCAGGGCGTGCCCCACGGCGGCAGCGATCGACTGGCTCTGTGCCCAGTCGAGGCTCGACTTCCGATCGGGACCTGGCACTCGCTCCGCGCTCCGCCCGCGAAGTGTGGTGCGGCTCCCCGCCCCAAAGCCGCTCGTGCGACAGGCCCCTCCCCGACGAGACTCGGAGCACGCGAGGCGAGTGGGCAACCGCTCGAGACGAGGCCAGGAGAGGATAAATCGAGGATCTCTGGGATCCTGCTCTCCTCTCCTCTCCTCCTCCTCCTCCTCCTGCCTCCCCCTCCCCCTCCTCCTCCTCCTCCTCCCCCTCCCTCCTCCTCCTCCCCCTCCCCTCCTCCTCCTCCTCCTCCTCCTCCTCCTCCTCCTCCTCCTCCTCCTCCTCCTCCTCCTCCTCCTCTTCCCCCTCCTCCTCCTCCTTCTTCTCCTCCTGGTCCTCCGAACGCCCCGAGAGCGTTCCGGAACGCCCTGGAACGGATGTATCTCGTGCTGGCCCCGCCCGGCCGCTGCCAGGTGATGCGAGAACCTCATCCAAAAACGGGTTCGTACAGTCGGGGCGTTGACCTAAGGAACCCTAAATAAGGAGCGGGGCCCCTTCCTCCGAGAAGTTGAGCTTCGATTTCCCATGGGAAACCTCAGGAAAACAAAAGGCAAACTGCAGAACAATCAAGGAACACCGAGCCCCTCCCCAACGAAAAGGGTTCCTTCTTCAGGGCCCCGACTGTAGTGAAGGTCACGGCACAAGGGTCGTGCAGCCTCTGCGCAGCTTCTGGGAACGACGAGACAGAGCGGCCGAGCCTGTGGCATCGAACTCGAGCTGGAATGTGTGAATCCAGGGCGTGGCCTAACGATCGCTTCTGCAACTATCTTTGGGGGTTCTATGGGGCAGGCTCGGGCCATCCCTGGCCCCCTTCAAAACATGCTGTGCCGATCTGATGGTCAAATTCAGCGACCTCAAGCCAACTTCGATCTTCTGGGGGGCTACCTTGTGGGGCGTTTGGGGGACAACTCGGTGTCATACTGGAATCATCTTGTGCAAATCGTTGCTGGCCCTGGGACCTCTGAGGACCAGCCTGGGCCAACATTAGGGGCCCCTGCGAGCGAAAACGCATGAATGTGACGCCCGCTGGACAATTCCAAGTCCCCCCCCGGCGCTGAATTAGTTTATGTTTGTTGTTCCTGAGGGGGGAGGAGAGAGGCCATCGACAAAGTCACTACCTTCAAGACCATCGCGGGTGACCTCGGGAATTACCCTGGCGACGTACCCAACCCCTGCGCAATGCGGGGCATGAGTAGCTTGGGAGACGTTATACGGAGGTGATGACGTGACATGGGCACATATACTTCTGCAAGCGGCATTCGTGAGGCTCGCAGCCCCCCAGGGATTGCGATGTCCCGCTCAGATCTGCCTGGTGCCTCGCTCCGCTGGACCCACCAGCAGCCCTCGAAAGTGGCGACAATTTCGCAGATCGCAGCCCCCCAGGGACGGCGATGTCCCGCTCAGGTCCGCGCGGCGCCTCACTCCGCAGGACCCAACAATTTCGCAGATCGCAGCCCCCCAGGGACGGCGAGGTCCCGCTCAGGTCCGCGCGGTGCCTCACCCCGCAGGACCCACCAGCAGCCCTCGAAAGTGACGACATTTCGCATATCGCAGCCCCCCCCCCCAGGACGGCGAGGTCCCGCTCAGGCCCGCGCGGTGCCTCACCCCGCAGGACCCACCAGCAGCCCTCGAAAGTGGCGACGGTTTCGCAGATCGCAGCCCCCCAGGGACGGCGAGATCCCGCTCAGGTCCGCGCGGTGCCTCAATCTGCAGGACCCACCAGCAGCCCTCGAAAGTGACGACCGTTTCGCAGATCGCAGCCCCCCAGGGACGGCGAGGTCCCGCTCAGGCCCGCGCGGTGCCTCATTCCGCAGGTATCACCAGCAGCCCTCGAAAGCGGCGACAGTTTCGCAGATCGCAGCCCCCCAGGGACGGCGATGTACCGCTCAGGTCCGCGCGGCGCCTCGCCCCGCAGGACCCACCAGCAGCCCTCGAAAGTGGCGACGTTTCGCAGATCGCAGCCCCCCAGGGACGGCGAGATCCCGCTCAGGTCCGCGCGGTGCCTCACCCCGCAGGACCCACCAGCAGCCCTCGAAAGTGGCGACAATTTCGCAGATCGCAGCCCCCCAGGGACGGCGAGGTCCCGCTCAGGTCCGCGCGGTGCCTCACCCCGCAGGACCCACCAGCAGCCCTCGAAAGTGGCGACCGTTTCGCAGATCGCAGCCCCCCAGGGACGGCGAGGTCCCGCTCAGGTCCGCGCGGTGCCTCACCCCGCAGGACCCACCAGCAGCTCCCGAAAGTGGCGACCGTTTCGCAGATCGCAGCCCCCCAGGGACGGCGAGGTCCCCGAGGTCCGCGCGGATCGCTCACCGCCGCCTCAGCAGGACCCACCAGCAGCCTCCGATGTTTTCACAGATCGCAGCCCCCCAGGGATGGCGAGGTCTAATTTGGGTCCGCGCGTGGCGTCACTGTGCTGGGCCCCCCAGCAGGCCTCGAAAGTGGCGACAGTTTCACAGATCGCAGCCCCCCAGGGATGGCGAGGTCTAATTTGTCCGCCGTGGCGTCACTGTGCTGGGCCCCCCAGCAGGCCTCGAAAGTGGCGACAGTTTCACAGATCGCAGCCCCCCAGGGATGGCGAGGTCTAATTTGGGTCCGCGCGTGGCGTCACTGTGCTGGAAACCCCAGCAGGCCTCGAAAGTGGCGACAGTTTCACAGATCGCAGCCCCCCAGGGATGGCGAGGTCTAATTTGGGTCTGCGCGTGGCGTCACTGTGCTGGGCCACCCAGCAGGCCTTGAAAGTAGCGACAGTTTCACAGATCGCACCCCCCCGCAGGCAAGACAGGAGGAGGCAGGCAGGAGGCAGGAGGGAGGCGGGAGGAATAAAGGAGGAGACCACAGTCCCTCATTCAAAACGAATACCCAACCAAGGAGGGTTGGGAAAAAAGGCGGTAGGGGGGGGCATGGGAAATCGAGAAGGTCACAACTTGAAGACAATCGCGGGCGGCCTCGTGAACAAGCAACAACCTACGAAGGGGCACGTAAGCGTGATAATCACGGCTTTGAGCCAATAAAGAACAGACTGGCTCCCACTTGAACTCAAGTTCTGGCAGGATCTACTCACGACTCTTACATACTACCTAACTTTACCCAATCATCCGAACAACACGCGACACACCCATCACCCGAACAACAAACACTCTGACCAAATGACGCACGCACTCCAACACGGGGCAACGTAACTTATGCCCAATGGAATGGCAAGTGACGCAGACACGCAGCCTGTGAGCACCGAGGTCATGCTGCGACCAGTCGACAATGCTACCGTGTGTGCTCCTGCGGGCCCGATGTGCAAAACCTTGACGGGTCTCCTGCGCGCTCCTGCTCACTTCTGGGGCCTGGCGCGACCGCGAGACCATCTCCCCATGCACACGGAGCCCTCCTGAGGACCCAGGGCCCGCGCTTGCCCTGGTCCCCAAAGGCCCGTCTCGGAACCGCGCTGAGGAGTCTCTTCGGCCGCCCTGGGAGCCCTCCGGGCCGGCCCGGAATCACAACATCGTCCAACGACAAGCGGTCCGGGTATGGCTTAACCTTCTCGCCGCTTCGGTGGTTCGAGCGCACGAGCCTGCACAAGCGCCCCAGGAAGGCCCCCCCGCAGCTCACAAGAGGCCTGCCACACGACCCCAAGAAGGGCCAGAAAAGGAGGGCGCAGCGAGAAGGCTGGACGCCTGCCCGCCAAGATGGCCACATGTTCCTCCCGGAAGCCTCCAAGAGTCCACCAAGAGGCCACTCACAGGCCTCAACAGGCCCCCAGGAGGCTCTCAGGAAGCCCCCAAACGCCCCCCCAAGAGGCTCCCCAAGAGACCCCACAGATGCCTCCCAGACGCCTCTGATCCACGATCCATTCGAGCGTAATGACGAGATCAAGCGACGGCCGCTACATGATCAGAAGAAGAGAAGTCCTACCATCGTCTCAGAATGGATGCGGACCCATTGATACCATAGGCAGCGACACGAACGCGAGCAACGCCAGACGACGCTCCAGAAAGGAAGGGGCAAGTTCACACGGAGTAGCGACGAGCGGCACCCTTCCTGAGCCAAGTGGTGGAGGCGACGAGCGACGAAGCAGATCCGGATGGCTGAAGCAACCCCTGCGTCTCGCATCAGACGAGCCCTACAACCACATCTTCAGGCCCACAAGTCAACGTGCAGCTGACTGAACCTGGGTCATGGCGATCCTCGGGCATGCTGGGATATCGCAACGAATGGGGCAATATTATTGAGGCACCTTGGAACCCTCCCGAATGGGCATCTTTGCGCTGCAGCAAGCAATCGAACACATTATATGTGTATATATGTATATGTCTATATGTGTGTGCGTGTGTGTTTTTGGTTGTTCCCCACATGCTTCGTGGGGTTCTGGTTTTCTTCCCTGGCGCGCCGCACCCGCGACACTCACACCTCACTCTTCCTTTCCTCCTCACAGCACTGCTCAGCACATCTCAGCTCAGCTCAGCTCAGCTCAGCTCAGCACGGCACAGCTCAGCACGGCACAGCTCAGCACAGCACAGCACAGCACTTTCTCACTTGCACTCGTGCTGACAGCACACACACATATATTCACAGCACGTATACACACAGCACGCATACACACAGACACTAACAGACACAGACACACATAGACACACACAGACACACATACACACATACATACACAGGCACAACGACACAGACACATACACACAGACACACACGCACACACAGACACACAGACACTACCTCACCCACGCGCACCACCTGCACGGCACGTACACGAGACACGCGCAGCACACTTCACAACACAGCGCAGCGCATCACAACACAGCGCGGCACTTTCAGGACACCGTAGGGGGTGCGCAGGGGGTGGTCTCTCACCGCGGCCGCTATGCACGACGGTCGTCCAGGCACAGCAGGCGTGGCACTTTCTCGACACCACAGGGGGTGCGCAGGGGGTGGTCTCTCACCGCGGCCGCTATGCACGACGGTCGTCCAGGCACAGCAGGCGTGGCACATTCTCGACACCACAGGGGGTGCGCAAGGGGTGGTCTCTCACCGCGGCCGCTATGCACGACGGTCGCTCAGGCACAGCAGGCGTGGCACTTCTCGACGCCACAGGGGGTGCGCAGGGGGTGGTCTCTCACCGCGGCCGCTATGCACGACGGTCGTCCAGGCACAGCAGGCGTGGCACATTCTCGACACCACAAAGAGTGCGCATGGGGTAGTCTCTCACCGCGGCCGCTACGCACGACGGTCGTCCAGGCACAACAGGCGTGGCACTTTCTCGAAACCACAGGGGGTGCGCAGGGGGTGGTATCCCACCGCGGCCGCTATGCACGACTGTCGCCCAGGCACAGCAGGCGTGGCACTTCCTCGACGCCACAGGGGGTGCGCAGGGGGTGGTCTCTCACCGCGGCCGCTATGCACGACGGTCGCCCAGGCACAGCAGGCGTGGCACATTCTCGGCACCACAGGGGCTGTGCAGGGGGTGGTCTCTCACCGCGTCCGCTATGCACGACGGTCGTCCAGGCACAGCAGGCGTGGCACTTTCTCGACACCATAGGGGGTGCGCAGGGGGTGGTCTCTCACCGCGGCCGCTATGCACGACGGTCGTCCAGGCACAGCAGGCGTGGCACATTCTCGACACCACAAAGGGTGCGCAGGTGGGGGTCCCCCACTGCGGCCGCTATGCACGACGGTCGCTCAGGCACAGCAGGCGTGGCACATTCTCGACACCACAGGGGGTGCGCAGGGGGTGGTCTCTCACCGCGGCCGCTATGCACGACGGTCGTCCAGGCACAGCAGGCGCGGCACGTTCTCGACACCACAGGGGGTGCGCAGGGGGTGGTATCCCACCGCGGCCGCTATGCACGACGGTCATCCAGGCACAGCAGGCGTGGAACACTCTCGACACCACAGGGGCTGTGCAGGGGGTGGTCTCTCACCGCGGCCGCTATGCACGACGGTCGTCCAGGCACAGCAGGCGTGGCACTTTCTCGACACCACAGGGGGTGCGCAGGGGGTGGTCTCTCACCGCGGCCGCTATGCACGACGGTCGTCCAGGCACAGCAGGCGTGGCACTTTCTCGACACCACAGGGGGTGCGCAGGGGGTGGTCTCTCACCGCGGCCGCTATGCACGACGGTCGTCCAGGCACAGCAGGCGTGGCACATTCTCGACACCACAGGGGGTGCGCAGGGGGTGGTCTCTCACCGCGGCCGCTATGCACGACGGTCGTCCAGGCACAGCAGGCGTGGCACTTTCTCGACACCACAGGGGGTGCGCAGGGGGTGGTCTCTCACCGCGGCCGCTATGCACGACGGTCGTCCAGGCACAGCAGGCGTGGCACATTCTCGACACCACAGGGGGTGCGCAGGGGGTGGTCTCTCACCGCGGCCGCTATGCACGACGGTCGTTTCGAGGCACACCGCACGACGGTCGTGGCACTTTCTCGGGGGGTGCGCAGGGGGTGGTCTCTCACCGCGGCCGCTATGCACGACGGTCGGGCACAGCAGGCGTGGCACTTTCTCGGCACCACAGGGGGTGCGCAGGGGGTGGTCTGTCACCGCGGCCGCTATGCACGACGGTCGCCCAGGCACAGCAGGCATGGCACTGCCTCGACACCACAGGGGGGTGCGCCGGGGGTGGTCTCTCACCGCGGCCGCTGTGCACGACGGTCGTCCAGGCACAGCAGGAGTGGCACAGTTTCGACACCACAGGGGGTGCGCAGGGGGTGGTCTCCCACCGCGGCCGCTATGCACGACGGTCGTTTAGGCACAGCAGGCGTGGAATATTTTTGACATTACAGGGGCTGTGCAGGGGGTGGTCTCTCACCGCGGCCGCTATGCACGACGTCGTCCAGGCACAGCAGGCGTGGCACTTCCTCTACGCCACAGGGGCTGCGCAGGGGGTGGTATCCCACCGCGGCCGCTATGCACGACTGTCGCCCAGGCACAGCAGGCGTGGCGCATTCTCGACACCCCAAGGGGTGCGCAGGGGGTGGTCTCTCACCGCGGCCGCTATGCACGACTGTCGTCCAGGCACAGCAGGCGTGGCGCATTCTCGACACCACAAGGGGTGCGCAGGGGGTGGTCTCTCACCGCGGCCGCTATGCACGACTGTCGTCCAGGCACAGCAGGCGTGGCACTTTCTCGACACCACAGGGGGTGCGCAGAGGGTGGTCTTTCACCGCGGCCGCTATGCACGACGGCCGTCCAGGCACAGCAGGCGTGGCACTTTCTCGACACCAAAGGGTGGTCTCTCACCGCGGCCGCTATGCAAGACGGTCGTCCAGGCACAGCAGGCGTGGCACTTTCTCGAAACCACAGGGGGTGCGCAGGGGGTGGTCTCCCACCGACGACTACGACGACGATTGCGACGAGGAGGTGCGACGACGAGTACGACTACGAGTACGACGACGAGTACAACGAGGAGTGCCACGACGGGCGCGACGACGGGTACGACAACGAGTGCGACGAGTAAAACGAGTACGACGACGAGTGCGGCGATAACTACGACGACGACGACGAGTGCGACAGCGATTACGACGACGAATGCGACGAACAGTACGGCGACGAGATACGACGACGACGAGTACGAAGACGACGAGTACGACGACGAGTACGACAACGAGTACGACGACGAATACGATGAGTACGACGACGAGCGCGACGAGTACGACGACGACGCTGAGCATACTCAGTACGACGACGCTGGTTCGACTGGTTGGTCTGGTTGGCGTGGTCTGGTTGGTCTGGTCTGGTCTGGTTGGTTTGGTCTGGTTGGTCTGGTTGGTGTGGTTGGTTGGCCTGGCTGGCTCGTGTGGCTGCTCTGCTTGATTGGCCTGGCTGGCTGGTCTGACTACTTTGGCTGGTTATGGCTGGAACGACTGATCCGACTGGTCTGGTCAGTCTGGCTGGTCTGGCTGATATGGCTGGTCTGGTCAGTCTGGCTCGTCAGGATGGCGAAGCGGGATGTGATATGGTTTGTGAACACGTGACATAAAATAAGTATGTGGGGTTCCTCGGTAGCGTAATTTTAGTTTGGTCTGATAGGCAGCCAGGGACTCGGGACACGTTTTCATTAGGTTCGCAGTATGTCTGGATGGACGCGCGAGCGGTGACACCGAGCAACCTACCACAGCGCAACTTGCAAGCATCCAGGCACTGAGTCAACGCTATCAACTGCTCTGCTGGGCCCTGGGTTCTCCTTGAAGGCCGCCAAACATCAATGACAGAATACAAAACTTGGACACAATAAGCCGGATCCCACGCATCCATGCTTAAGCTTCGCGCATGCAGCGCATCCATGCTTAAGCTCGCGCAGGCAGGCCCCCGCCTTCGGGAACACCTCCTGCAGGGGCGCAGGTGCAGCGATGTGCGCCTCGGGACGACCAGAAAGAACCGCACATCTACACATGATGACTTACTGACCGAAGCGTGCAATTGAAATTGCAGCCGCAATCCCACTCGTGGCAAGCCACAGCCAGGCGTCTGGCGGGCAAGACAACAAGACTCAAGCAACCTAAAGGCAGCCTTGAAGGGGGCCGCGACTTCGCCACACATTACGGCACGAGTTCAAGGATTTGTTGATCTTATCGACAAGTGAGCTGAACGGGTCCAGCGTCTACTGAATGCCCTGACGAGTGATATGTCCGCTTCTGCCAGCACAGATGTGCAAAACAACGAGGCGCACACGCACATAAGCACATGCGTGCATAGTGGGAGACACACACACACACATCCACACACACGCACTTCTTCTGTGCGATATTCACGCGCTGGGGGCATGGAGGGCAAGAACGCCTCTGAGACATACAACAACGACGGCGATGTGGATGCGGAAAGGCCGATCACAGACGGTACAGTCGCCATCGTGCTACCACAGGGGACGCATGGTAAGAAACGAAAGGGCTTTTCTGGCCATGGCGGGACTGGGCCGCAAACAGATTCCGCTGCACAGATCTCGAGAACGGCCCGAAGACCCGAGCCCCTCCGGAGCCCCAGACGATCCTTATGTCAGCACCTCGGCTGCCATTCAAGACAATCCGACTTCGTGCCCCGAGATACAGTGTAGAGTTTCCACAGGTCCCGTCGAGTTCTCGGCAGTGGGTGTTCAGTGCTCTCGAGACGCTTTCGACCTCTGACTTCCTGGCCTACTGGGCGTGCATTACGTAGCAGAGCGCCGCTCGGCTAATTTGGCCAGAAGCCTGCGCCCCCCCCGATCCCTGCACTTCCCAAGCTGGCATTGGACAAACCGCCGCTTTCTGTTGCATCTTCGGGGGGCCCTACCCATCCCCTTGCGCCGGCATCCGCGCCGAACTCGCGTCGAGTCCACGCCGAATCCGCGTCGAATCCGCGCCGAGCCTGCGCCGAACCCGCGCCAGCCCCAGGAGAGGACAGCAGCGCAGCGAGGCGCAGCTGGTGGGGACGGCCCCAGGCACCGACGTTTCCAGAGCAGCTGGAAGCGTGCACAAACAGAGTGCTCAATCGAAGCCGATCCCCCAGAGCACTCTCGGCGGCCAGCGAGGGGGGGAAATTAGAAGGAGAAGGCCCTCTCAGAAGGCGGCGGGGCTTCTTAGAAGCCCTCGCGCCTTCTGAGGAGTTGTTTGTGCTTTCAGGGAAGGCTTAGAAAATTTCTCAGAAGGCCGGGGGACCCCCGCCGCCTTCCGAGATGGCCTTCTCCTTCTCACTCCCCCCCCTCGCTCGCCACCGACACTCCCAGACACCGCGTTGACGCCTGCTTGCTTCGCCCACTGATGCCTCGTGGCTGACGAGGCTGTTTCGTCCTGCGCCATGTGTTCTGCCATCCTTGCGGGTACATGCGTGGCTCAACTGGTAGGCGGTAGGCGCCGTCAGGCGCCGCACCGCCGCAAGAGACGGCGCGCCCGACTGGACCCCGCCCCCTCTCCCCCCCCCTCGGGCATCCCCCCTCCTTCACCTCCTCCTGTAATCCCTCCTCCATCCCTGGCCCTCAGACATACTTTCTCAAACGTGTCGGTAGGTCGGGCCCAGCGTTTCGCCGGAGAGCTCCTCGCCATGTCTGGCCCGGCTCGGAAGCTTGACAAGTGGAACAGCTTCACGGATGGATGGCGGGTGGTCTTCACAATGCGGCCCTCTCTCCCCGGCGCCGCGCACACTGGTCTGAACAGTTTGCCGCAGCTCCGTGAGCTGCTGTCTGGGGTGGCCAAAGAGGGGGCGTCCAAGAGGGGGGGCGCAAATCATGGCCGGCGGCATGTGCGCGGCCCAGGAGGGTATTGAAATAGGAAGAGGCGCCATGAAGTCTGTGGAGACATCATGGCCCCCGCCATGCGATCCCCCCCCTCCCCCAGCCTGGAACTCGGCCCCTGTCGTGACCCGGGGCCAGGCTCCTCGCCTTCTGTGGCAACTGGTGGGAGCCTCCCATGCCACCTTGTGGGCTCTTGCGAATCGACACTAATCGAAGCTAAATCGACGCTGATCGACGCTAAATCCACCTTAATCGACCCTGCGTCGACGCTAATCGACTCTAGCCGACGCTATCTCATCGGCCCCCAGACGCCAATCGACGCCAGTCGACGCTAAAGACACAATTTCGAGGGTACACAAGACTCCCATGATTACTACCGAACTCGCCCATCAATCCCGCCCAGCTCAGCAACCGCTCCCTCGTCCGGGTCCGTCCCCTCCTCCCCGCTCGGAATGCTGCCGTCGCCCCCGGCCGAGCCCAGCTGCTCCACGGTCGTGAACGGCTTAACGATTTCTGCCGTCCATCGACTCGCGCTCGACTGGTCACGATTTGCTCCAAGGTTCCTTCGAACACATGTGCATGTTTACCTGGATCTGCCACGACCTGCCCAGATGCACCTCGATGTTATACGTATGCTTACCTGGATTGGTCTGGCTCGATCCCCACAGGTCGATTGGCAAAAAGTCGTCAAGCCCTTGTGGGACGCGCAAAGACGTAGTGGTATTATATGTCCTCCTTGGAGCCGCGCGTCCGACCTGAATCTAAAGTAGACCCATCATGTAGTACATCGTTTCCCGAGCGGTGTGGCCAGAACGCGCCCGCCACGACGCATATACTAAAAGGTTTCTCGGTGCGCGCGTCGCCCCTGGGGGGGGGCGGGCGACGCACACTTCTTTTTCCCAAACGTCCTGTGGTGTTGGGTCCTCGTCTTGAAATAGCGGTCCCCGCGTTCTCTTCCTCCTCCTCCTCCCCCTCCTCCCTCCTCCCTCACCATCATCATCATCATCACCCGTTTCACCACATCCCTCACACGTTTCGTGGCCCCATAGGGAGCCTCACCGAAAGTCCCAGTGCTACCGTCCGCATGCGTCCCGCACACCGCACACCCAGTACAGCGCTTCGTGGCCACATAGGGAGCCCAACCGAAGGACCAAGTGCTACCGTCCGCGTGCGCCCCGGAAACCCAATTCGACATTTCCACTCACCCAATACAGCGCTTCGTGACACCATAGGGAGCTCCACCGAAGCCCCCAGTGGGACCGTCCGCGTGCGTCCCCAAAAAACACAATTTCGGATTTTTACCCACACAGTACAGCGCTTCGTGGCCCCATAGGGAGCTCCACCGAAGCCCCCAGCGGGACCGCTCGCATGCGTCCCACACATCCAATTTGGCATTTTCACCCACCCAGTACGGCGCTTCGTGGCCCCATACGGAACTCCACCGACGACCCAGTGCTACCGCCTGCATGCGTTCACCCCCACCCAGTGCAGCGCTTCGTGGCCCCATAGGGAGCTTCACCGAAGCCCCCAGCGGGACCGCTCGCATGCGTCCCACACATCCAATTTGGCATTTTCACCCACCCAGTACGGCGCTTCGTGGCCCCATACGGAACTCCACCGACGACCCAGTGCTACCGCCCGCATGCGTTCACCCCCACCCAGTGCAGCGCTTCGTGGCCCCATAGGGAGCTTCACCGAAGCCCCCAGTGGGACCGCTCGCATGCGTCCCACACGCCAAATTTGTCATTTTCACCCACCCAGCACAGCGCTTCGTGGCCCCATAGGGAACTCCACCGACGGCCCCAGTGCTACCGCCCGCATGCGTTCCCCCCACCCAGTGCAGCGCTTCGTGGCCCCGTAGGGAGCTTCACCGAAGAAGATATTCACAATTGCGGCACCCACAACTGCATATGGTTGAGTCCTTCGCCAGGATCATTTTACCAACGCAAGGGGAGCCCAGTGGCAGAGGAATGAGAAAACGACAGACGAAGGGACGACACGACGGGAGAGCGCGGCGGGCGAGGGGGGACGGGGAGGGGGGGGGAGGGCGGGGCGCGCGCACGCCCACGCGCGCGCGCGCACAGCGCCAGCCGGGGCCCGCGCAGTCCCCGGGAGGAAGCCGGTTGTGGTGGGCGGGGGGGGCGATGTACACATAGCATTAGAAGGGAACGAACAATGACATAAACATAAAAACTCTGAGATCCGCGCGGACTTCGCGGATCGGCGCTGGGTCCCCGTGGCGGCGCCTCCGGCGCCGCCCCTGGCGCGCTCCGCGCGCCAGGGAAGGGGGTCCAGCGCGGATCCGAGAAATCCGCGCGGACCTCCGAGTTTTATGTTTCTGTCATTGTCTGTCTCGCTGTATTAAGATGTTGGGGTGGCGCCGACCCTGGCCAGGCGGGAGGAGACGCCCTGGGGAGGCAGGTGGGCACCGACCGCTGCCACGCCGCCGCCCCGCCGCTCGAGAGAGCCTCGCCGCCGCGCGGGCCGGGCCCCCCCCCCGGGGCTGGAGGAGCAGGAGCGCGCGCGCGCGCAGCTCTCGCCCGTGCAGGTTGCCCCCCTGCAGCCTCTCCGCCTCCTCCGCTAATCGACGCGACATCAACGCCAGCCGACGCTAAACCGGCGCTGTCTCATCGACTCCCAGACGCTACTCGGCGCCAACTGACGCTGGAGGCGGAAAGAAGAGGGTAATCCAGGAACCCATGATGTGCTACAAAACCCCCATGCAGTCTCTCCGCCTCCTCGGCTGTCTGCTTGAGCAGTTCTTCTGAGGGCTTGCCAGGCTCAGCCTGGGACATCAGGAATTAGAAGCAGGCGATCCTGGCGCAGACGACCCCACATCAGAGGTCGTCTGTGCCGTCCCTCCGCCTGCGAGCTGGTGGTTTTGTCGCGTCCGTCTCACTCCCCGGCCCTGGCGCTCTGTCTTAGCGAAGTGATCGATAAATCATCCTCGTCCTCCTCCTCTCCACCCTCCTGCGGAGCAGCGTCAGGGGGGATCTTCTATAAAGGGAGGCAACATCAGCATTGAGTTGGCATCTGCGACACAACGCCGATAGATTCGCGATAGGCCCCCGACAGAACATCCGCGGGTGCTGGGTGGGCAGGACCATGGATTAGCGATCCATGGATTAGCGATCCGTGTCGGGGACGCGCAAACATCGATTAGCGATCCATGGATTTGGAGCGCGGTCGCCAAATCCATGGATCGGAGGAGGTGCCCTCCCCAAAGTGCGACCGGTGCCGCCTCGCTCGGCGGCGGAAATCCGCGATTTCCCCTAGAAACGGGGACCGTCGCTAATCCACGCCCCCTGAATCCATGTTTCCGATCGCCTGAAGAATGGGGGCCGATGCAGCCTCCCTAAACCGATCCCCCTCTCACGTTGTCACTGGTTTTTGGCTCATAGCTTTAGGTCGGGCATGTCCCCCTACAGGCGGACTCTGGACGAAAAATGAAGAAAAATAGCCAAAGAAAATTCAAACAATATTCAAAACATTGTAAAAGACAAAAAAACGTCCCCAGACTATTTCTTTACTATTTTTCAACGTTCCCCCTGTAGGGAGACAGGCCCGACTTTCCGGAGGCCGCTCGGGGCGATCCGGGAACCCCCAGAACGCTCTCAGCGAGGCGCAGCTGCTGGAACGGCTCCTGGGGCCGGAGAACCACCAGGAACCGACGAGAGCGGCCGAAAGCCTAGAACCTCGAAACGGCCCTGTCCAGTCCAGGGCCCACTGAGACCCATCCCTTCCCTCCCTCCCCCCCTCCTCTTGACCCCTCCGCCTGAGCGGGGGCGCGTGGGCGAGCCTGGCCTGCGAAACGGACGAGTGCTCCACGTAGACCGTGTGGCGGGCGTCCCGCTGCGCCTGAGGTGCGGGCAGGGCGCGGGCTCGAGGAGCAGAACAGAGAGAGGAGGAGGGGGGGGAATATCCTGACCAGCCTCACGTTGCGGAAAGATCACGTCGGAAATCCTCTGGGGCCCTGGGGGCCCTCTCCGGGCCCCGGCACCGCAAGCACAACCACTCCCAACGAAGCACGGGGATACGTGGAGACAACTGGAAACGAGTCGGCTACACGCAGGAGTGACCCTGGGCAAGAGTGACCTTTGGTGCGCGGCTTTGGGGGGGCCGCGGGGGGGCCAGACACAAGCACGCGAGACGCTGCGATCGCATCGCGTTCGGCGATCGGGGGGCCCCGGGTGAGCCCGCACCGAGGGTCACTCCGGCGAAGGGTCACTCTGACGCGCAGCCGAACGAGGCAATGTGCCCACGGCAGCTCCGGCACGAGAGGGCGTCGGACGCCGGAGGGCGACGGGGAGCCCCCCCGACGGGTGGAGCGCCCAGGAGGCCTGCGGCCCCCGAGGGTCCGCGGCGCGGGGGCGGGCCCCGCGGGCGGGAGGGGGGAGGGAGGAAGCGAAGCAACCAGTCCAGCTGTCGGCCAGGACGGATGCGTACGGATCGCTGAGCTTGTCCAAGACGCGAGTCGTCCTGCCACCGCCTTCCCCCCCTGCAGGTGGCACTCTGGAGCGGGGCGGATCTGCGACAGCGTCGGCATCATCCCGCCAGCCTTCTGGGCGTCGGCGGTCTGAGGCCATTCCGCTTTCTGGCAAATCCCCTCTTCCCTTCAGGAAGGGGTACCCTGCCCTCTCCCCCTGAAGCTTCCTGGTGGGATCGCGAGCGGTCGGCGCACCCGAAGTGGCCCAAGATGGCTCTGGGAGGTCCAAGAGCGGGCTCCAAGGTGGCTCCAAAATGGCACAAGGTGGAGCGAGCTGGCCTCCATCGTGCCTCCAAGAGGCCCGAGAGAGCTACAAGATGACCCCGAATGCTGTCGGAGCGCCCCGTGGACACACCCAAGGGGCAAAAGACATCCAGCACCGAAGGAACATCAGTTAGTTTAGCCGTCTCGCCTTTGCGCCTGCAGTTCGCTTGAAGTCTCAAGATGGCCCCAAGATGACCCAAGAGAACCCCAAGAGAGCCCCATGATAGGCCGAAGAGGCCTCCGAGAGCGCCCCGAGAGGACCCCGACATGCAACTTCGATGGCCCAAGAAGGGTGGGGATGGGGGTAAGGGTCAACTATTGTTCTATGTAGCGATATGGTTAGCTTGTCTTGTCTATCAGTTTCAAATTGGTTCAGCTTCATAGTTAGCTTGCTGATTACGCAGGATTGCCATGCAAATTCTGCAGTTCGTTATCTCTTTCTCTCCCTCTCTCTCTCTAACTCTCTCTGATTGTCTGCATGCCCTTCTCTGCCGCGTGCATGTGCAAGCCGATCTGCAGAACCGAGCCCGACGAAACATCCCGACCACCCAGGAACAACACAATACAAGCACTAGAAAACAACAAACGGACATAGCATTGCAAACACATGGTGTTGTCACAGGTTTCGCTGGTCCTTGCTTGTTGGAACAATTGGTCCTGCTGTAAAGCATGCAACGTGTTTTGATTACTTTTGGTGGGAAACTAGAATTAGCCAGGTGAAGGACCCAATCATGTGCAGTTGTGAGTACCGCTGTTGTAAGCACCGCATTCGGAGGAGCTCCACATAGGGCCACGAGACGTGTGACGGGTGTGCCAAAATAAGTGCGGTGGGCGCATGCGAACGCAGCTATTGGGGCCGTCGGTGGGGATCCATATGGGGCCGCCGCGAAACGCGTGAGGGGTAGGCCAACAGGGGTGCGGTGGGCGCATGCGAGCACAGCCACCAGGGCCGTCGGTGGAGGTCCCTATGGGGCCACGAAGCGCGTGAGGAGTGTGTGTGTGTGTGTGTGCGTGTGTGTGTGTGTGTGTGTGTGTGCGTGCGTGCGTGCGTGCGTGCGTGCGTGCGTGCGTGCGTGCGTGCGTGCGTGCGTGCGTGCGTGCGTGCGTGCGTGCGTGCGTGCGTGCGTGCGTGCGTGCGTGCGTGCGTGCGTGCGTGCGTGCGTGCGTGTGCGTGCGTGCGTGCGTGCGTGCGTGCGTGCGTGCGTGCGTGCGTGCGTGCGTGCGTGCGTGTGTGTGTGTGTGTGTGCGTGCGTGCGTGCGTGCGTGCGTGCGTGCGTGCGTGCGTGCGTGCGTGCGTGCGTGCGTGCGTGCGTGCGTGCGTGCGTGCGTGCGTGCGTGCGTGCGTGCGTGTGTGTGTGTGTGTGCGTGTGTGTGTGTGCGTGTGTGTGTGCGTGTGTGCCAAAATTGGTGCGGTGGGCGCTTGCGAACGCAGCCACTGGGTCCGTCGGTGGACCTCCCTATGGGGGCGCGAAGCGCAAGACGGGTAGGCCAACATGGGTGCGGTGGGCGCATGCGAATGCAGTCACCGGGGCCCTCGGTGGAAGTCCCTATGGGGCCACAAAACGTGCGAGGAACGTGCCAAAAGGGGTGCGGTGGGGGCATGCGAACGCAGCCGCCGGGTCCGTCGGTGGAGCACTTTGTCGGCCATGAAATGTGTGAGAGGTGTGCCAAAAATGTGCGGTGGGCGCATGCGATCGCACCCACTGTGGCCTTCGGTGGAATTCTTTATGGGGTTGCGATACGTGTGAGGGGTGTGCCAAATGGGGCGCGGTGGGCGCATGCGAACGCAGCCAAAGGGCCATCGGTGGAGGTCCCTATGGGGCCACGAAGCGTGCATTTGGTGTGCCAACATGGGCGCGGTGGGCGCATGCGAATGCATCCGCTGGGGCCGTCAATGGAACTCTCTATGGGGGTGCGAAACGTGTGGGGGGCGTGCCAAAATAGGTGCGGTGGGCACGTGCGAACGCAGCCACTGGGTCCGTCGGTGGAGCTGAACCCCCTTATGGGGCCACGAACCATGTGAAGCGTGTGCCGAAATAGGCACGGTGGGCGCATGCGAACGTAGCCGCCGGCGCCGTCGGTGGGGATCCTATGGGGCCACGAAACGTGCGCGGGGTGTGCAAAATGGGCGCGGTGGGCGCATGCGAACGCAGCCACTGGGGCCGCCGGTGGAGGTCCCTATGGGCCAAGGGACGTGTGAAGGGGCGTGCCAAAAATGGACCCGGTGGGCGCATGCGAATGCATCCACTGGGGCCGTCGGTGGAGCTCCCTAGGAGCCACGAAAATAAGTGCGGTGGGCGCATGCGAACGCAGCCACTGGGTCCGTCGGTGGAGCTGTCTACGGGGCCAGGCAACGTGTGAGGGGTGTGCCCACATGGGCGCGGTGGGCGCATGCGAACGCAGCCGCTGGGGTCGTCTGTGCAGCTCCCTGTGCAACCACTGGTGGTCCAGTGCCGTGATTGGAGCCCGCAAGTCACAATTCCGGTACTCACAACTGTATGGAAGGAAAGAAAAAGGAAAAAGGAAGGAGGAGCGCGGGGACGGTCTCCTCACATCGAGGACCAACACCACAGGATGGTTGGGTGAAAAAGCGAGCATGAATCTCATTGATCCTTTTGCAAGTACATGAGGAACTGGCCCCCATGACTGTTTTACATACACATGCACCGTGTAATCATGAAAGCAGAAACGCGTAAGTCAAACGAACACATTGTGTTTGTATGCAGAATTAAAATACAGGTTGTCGAGGTCGGGGACCATCGAAAACTCTCGGGCCACATTGTGTTTCCGCATGTCGGCGGATGCCTGTTATGTTTGGTCTGTTTGTGCGTATGGTGTTCATTGTTTCTGAAGTCTTGGAAATTTGAAAATCTGAATATCCCCCGACAAGTGATCGGCCACGAACAATCATAGCATTGCTAAATTCTTGTGTTTTGCAAGGCGCACCTGGTTCCAGCCTTGTACAGCATAAGCAACCTACGTCTTGATATACAGCCTATATATATACACTTAGCTCCCATTGGTTTTTTCTTAAACAAAACAATCACAAACCCCAGTGGTCCTTGTGCAAACACAAGGACCACCTGGTCCCGCGAATGTGTTTTGATTGTTGCATTGAACATTAGAAATAAACGTCGGAGAGAAGCACAAAACCGTGGGTTATCAGGCCGTAACAAGTAAAACCTGTGAAAAGGCAGCGCTTCCAACACAATATGACTGCTTCGTCTGCGCTGCCAGGTTTCCTTGGCTTTCTGTTTTCTCTTGTCCTTAAGATTTGGAATGCCGGTCCCCCTTTCCCAAAACCCAACCCCCCCATACACATAACATTAAACCACATACACACATACACATCAACCACATTAAAACCCAAACCCCTTATACACATAACAAATGCCGACACACACACACACACCACAGACAACCAATATAAACCATATATATATATATATAACATTAGAAATTCGGAAAATTCGGTTCCTGGCTCGCATCAGAGAACCACTGTCACAAAAAAACCATAGGGTCCATCTGCCTGCAACCAAATAAAGTCAATAGGGATGGACCAGACTCCAGATTAACAGGCAATCGGTCGGAGACCGTTGGGAGAGCAATGAGGATGGAAAGGGGTCCGAAATTCCACACATGCCAATTTGATTTTCATGTGAGCACACACATATCATCACCAGCTCAACAACTTCCACGGCTACCCCGCCTCCGTGGCAACTGTTCAGGTCAGGAGTAGCATTGGTGGCTGAGGCGGCGGTGGTACTGGTAGTCGTAGCAGTTGTAGCAGCCGTACCAATGCAAACCCGCACACAAAGCACAAGTAGTGGAGATGGTAGCAGTAGTATCAATAATAATACTAGTCGTCGTCGTGGCCGAAGTAAAAGGAGTAGTAGTAGCAGTAGTAGTAGTAGTAGTAGTAGTGGTAGTAGTAGTAGTAGCAGTAGTAGTAGTAGTGGTAGTAGTAGTAGTAGTCGTAGTAGTAGTGGTACTAGTAGTAATAGTAGTAGTAGTAGTAGTAGTAGTAGTAGTAGTAGCCGTCGCATGCGCCGCCGCTGTCGTAGTCGTAGTAGTAGCGGTAGCAGTAGTAGTAGTAGTAGTAGTAGTA